TTGCAGAAAGAAAATAGTCAATAACCCAATTAAAGTAATCGTTTCCCAATGTATTATAGTCATTGATCTTTCGTACTTGCACCTGACAGATAAACAAATTCGCAAAAAAGGATGTCGTCATTTTTATCCTATTTTAGTAATAGCTCAACTAAAGTAATCAATATAACTCCCAATGCATAATAATTACTGAAGGCAAATATATTATATTGTTTAAAAATTAAAATGCTAGACCAATTTTAGAAACTAAATAATAATTATCACATTTGCCAATATATTATTATATCATTTACATGTTTCGGGATTTTTTTGTCATTTCCTTATTAATAATAAATAAAAAATTGTTCTTGATTGTATTTTAATAATTTTTTTAATATAGAGGCATTAAGCTGAACTGCTAGTTTAGTGAAACTACTTATCTTTAATCAAAGTTCTAAAAACCAACTGGTTAATGAGTCAAGTGAGATATTGGTTTAAGGGTACATGGTCAGATTGGTGATGATTAATTTAATATATTTTTAATTTTAAATGTTAAATATTAGTAACATTTTATTAAATATTTGTTCTAGAATATTAAATTTATAAGAGGAGAGTGATCAATTTTTTCATTTTTTTATAGAATATAATTTTATTAGTATATAATATTAACAAGAAAAATATAAAAATTATTAGTGATTGATAATAATTAAATAAGCTGTTTAAAATTTATATTGAAAAAAAGGAAGATAAATTATAAAAATAAATTTTAAATAATAATAAGAATTAAATGAAATACAAAGAACTTAATATTTTTTTCCCCACTTGAAGAGCCACTGGGTGAACTTGCTGGTAAGGATGTAATTCTGTCTACACTAGAAGGTGATGGGTTAGGAGTTTCTGAGCTGCTGCCATCCGATGTGACTCCATTTCTAACTAGCTTCTTCATTAAATAATAAATATAACGTTCCTATTAATAACAATCTTGCCACTAATTTGATTATACATCCTATAAGCTTTGGGTTGTACTCTTTCTAGTTCAAAATATAAGCATTTCTTTTTAACTAATTTTGATTTAAAATATAAGCAATATACTATATATAAAAAATATTTTTACCATTTTATCCTTTATATTTATTAATTTAGATATTTCTGTAAGTGTATCTCTCATTTATCATGAAATACTTTGGTAATTTGAATTAGGGGTAAAAGGAAAAAATAATTTATATTTTTATGGGAATGGAGACTTTATTATTATACATATTTTTTAAAAAAAATTGTTTATATTTTGAATTGAAAGAAGTATACTATAACCAACAAAGATAGCTTTTTCAAAATTTTCATCAAATTTTTTGACAAAATAATTTTACTGAAATATATACTATACAATCAAAAACTTTTAAGTATTACACTTTTCCATGCTTCATAAAGTGTTATGTTAAGAATTGCTTTTGTCAGAGAAAGATTGAGAAGGTACATTGCTGCAGTTACTGCTGCCCAACACTGATCTGAAAGCTCTCTTGCCTTCATCATGTTTCCAGCCATTTCCACCATAGTTTGATAATAAAAATAGCTTAATTATGGAAAGAGCTTAATAATAAAAACTGTAATGTATTCCTTCAATCTCATTTATAAATCATATTTTAAAAGATTCACTTAATCTTATTTATAAATTATAGTATGACTTTTTAAGTAATATTTAAAAAATATTTTAAAACTATCCTTTATGAGAAATAAAAAATAATATGACATCACTTTTTAAATTTATTATATAAGAGTATATTTAAAATTCTACACACTTTTATTCTTTATACTTTTTATTTATTAGTATTGATAAGATTAGTAAAAATAATTTATAAAATGAACCAAAATAGTATAAAGGGAAGATGTTGGTAAAAAATGTACAAAGGAAATACTTAAATTTATATTCAATATTTTATATGAAAAAATAAATGAGTAAAATTTTTATGATTCAAACAAGTTATCCTGATCATGATATGCCTACACACTATTTTTGCTCCCGCCTGTCTAATCGCTTTTTATCATCAAAGTATTAAATAAATAAGGAAAATATATTATAGATTTTTATATTTTTAAATTTTAAATTATATTTTTATAATTTATTTCATTTTAATTGAGCTCTTATAATTTGATTTGATATATTTTTTAATCTCTAAATATTAAACTTCCTGAATTTTTCCTTTAAAAAATAAAATTAAAAATTTATATTTTTATTGTAAAATTAAAATTGATATACAATTATATATATATATATATATAGAATTTTCATAAAAAAATAATAAAAAATATATGCATCATATTAAATTAATTTTTTGGCCAAAAGTATTAAATTAATATTTTATATTCTCAAAAAATGCTTTTACTTTAGAAAAATTAATTATTTGCAATAATTTTAACTTTCAGAAATTAACTTATTTAATCTATCAAATTATAAAAGCTGAATTAAAATAAAATAAATTATAGAGATCTAATTTAAAATTAAAGAAAATCAAATACTCCCTCTGTTAAAAAATATAAGTTATTTTTAACTGAATCTTATCCCCAATAAAGTAGTTATCTACTTTCAAACTAACTTTATTTTTTCATATTTATTCCTATTAAATACTTTACAATAAAGATAAAGTCATAATATTAAAAAAAAGTAATGATTACATCTTAAAAGATTTAAAATATTTTACATTTTTAACTATTCAACTTAAAAAATATTTTATATTTTTTAATATATTTTTCCAATAAAAAGAATAAGGATCCATTGCTTGAATGCGAAGCATGCCGATGGTGGTATTTTTTTTTTTTTTCCCCAGCCGGTGGTGGTATTGCTTAAGTAACTTAGGAAATACAAGAAGGAATAATCACACCTAAGGCCCTCAAGGAAGAAAAAAATGTACTTATGGCCCAATATAATATAAAATCTCCCTGCAAGCCTGAGGCCTTTGATGACAATATATTTTAGCAAAAAAATGACTCATTTGCCTCTTCCAAAACCAACCACGTTATGATCTTTTCTTCCTCCTCTCCTTTCCTCTTCCTTCTTTCCCCCTCTTTCTCATTTTAACAGTGTCGTTTGATTGTGGTTGGTGGAGTAAGTCAGATTGGAGGAGGGTTCAGCCATGAGATGATGAGAATGGCTTCTGCTCAAGCTGGGGCTGTAGAATGGAAACACAAATATCAGTTGGAGAGGGCACGGAATATATAGTTGGATCACAAAGGTTCAAATAATTAAATTACTATAAGATGCAGTTTTTTCGTTTCATATTTCAATTTCGTAGTTGTTGATCATGCAAAAAGAACAATACTTTTAATCAGCTGTGTCCATCTTAGTCGTAGAAGTCCTTGCCTTTTTTTACTTGGAGATTCTTGGAGAATGGAAATGCTGGCATTAAGTTTTGGTGCAGTAGTGACAACGATACTAGCCTTTAATATTTTTGGGATTACAATGAGATTTTTGGAAATTACTACAAAAGTTGTAAAATCATATTTGGTTGTCATTGAATTGTGAATATCTAAAATAAAAAATTTTGGACTTTAAATTGTGAATAGCTGATCTTATATTTGTAAATATTCAAATATTTAGTTACAAATTTGTTAATGTACATCAGATATGTTTTGTGCATTCACGAATATTATATTAAAGATTTGTAGATATCATATTGTATATTCATGGACATATGTTGTTAATCCTTTTTTGCTTATACATTTCACTTTAAATAAACCATGTCCATCAGGTGTGTTGTGCAATCATGAATATTGTGTTGAGGATTTATGGACATTGTTTTATACATACATGAACATTCTATTTAGATAAAGATAAATGCATCTTTTTATTTACAATAAAATTTAAAAGAAAGGCTTTCAAACCTCTAGGTTTCATTTGGTATGCTGGAATTTAAACATGGATTTAGAAATGGATATGGAATTGACAAAAATGTTAGTTTGGTATGCCTGAATTTGATTTTCACATGGAATTGAATTCCACCAAAAATGGTTGAATTGGATTCCATGAAGAGACCCATGGAAATGAGATGAGTTTCATAAAATTGTACCACTAATCAAATTTTAAGACAAATTTGCCCCTCCACCCCACCTAGATTTTCAACATTCCAACACACCACCATTTTTGCCAACGCTCATCTGCACCAAGCATAACGAGGCCATCAACACCATCCCTACCTAACAGCAACGATGCCATCGACACTGGTCTTCACCGGCACTCGTCTCGCACTACTCTCAACTCCCTCCCTCCGTCTCAATTTTGATCTTATGGTTGACGCTTGTAGCGATTTGCTTCTGACGATGGTTTCAAATGTTGAAGGTGAATGTTAATCTGGGTTTGCTTCCTCTTGTTTTTTTTTTTTTGGTTGGGAATTGATGTAGCCAACAATTTTGCCTTTGTTTTGTCTTTGACCTCCTCCCTCACTAATTCCAAATCCACACTCACTATCGTTTTGTCTTCATCCCCCTCTCTTATCAATTTGTAGAGAGAAGTCGTGGAGAGTGCTATAGGTTTTGTTCTCCACTGATTCACTTTGTCAATTCTTCCTTTTGGAACCATTTGGTCGGCAATTGAAACCCCATCACATCCAAAGAAGTTCTCAGTGATGGCGGCGACATCACCATGAGAAACCAGTTTCCAAAACCTCGACGATGTTGTCATCTTCCTCCGTGCCATCCCTTACTTCAGTAATGGCAGCAACATCACCATTGGAAATCAATTTCCAGACCTTAACAATGTCATCATCTTTCAATGTATTTGATTGATTTTTGTTTGTATCTAGAATCTGCTTGAACTTTGGGGTGGGGCAAATTTTTTTGGGATGAGGGGCAATAAAGTAATTTTGTTGTCATCTTCTATTTTTATATTTATATTTATTTTTATTTTTATTAAAATTATTTTCATCATACGAAACAAGGCATTAGTGTGTTTTTAAATTTTATGGAGCCATAAATATAAATTTCTGTGTTTTGGGCCTCAAGCGAGATTCTCCCAAGAAAAAAAAAAAAAAAAAAGCAACGGCGCGCAACCATCACCATCTAGTATTTTTCTCCCACATTTTCCTTTTTTGCTTCTACAACACCGTCCTGTTTCTCCATCGTTCCTCTTCCTTGATACTTCTTGTCCGACGCCTGCGACGGGGAGCACTTGCGTTCGCGAGTTGTTCTTCCTCGTTTCAGCGTCGCTGGATCTCTCTCATTCTCCCCTGTTTGCGTCGTGCTGTACTGTGGCTGGACATCAAAAGAAAAAAAAAGGGAGGCAGGGTTTTGATTAGCTGAATCTTTGAGTGGGGAAGAGCTTCTACTAAGAGGTAGTCTTCCATTTGTTGTTCATTATATGTGGCTTGGATAGAGGATTGAGAAAGTAAGAAGCTTATTATGTTGGCTCATTTTGTTTTGCACATAAGGTGTTTGTCAGAATGTTTCAGTGAAAAATTTTATTCAAATGAGTGCCTAAACTTAACTAAGTTAATTGTCGTTAACTTTAGTGTTTGGATCACTAGTTTTTATATTAGTAATATACGGATAAACAATGGGTGTGTCTGTGTGGGTACCGTGTGTGTTTCGGCAGGCTTTCCTTTTCACGTGGGTTCCATCTTTTTTGTGGCTTCTTTCTATTGTTGAATGAATAATTTATTGGCCACTTTAATCTCCAATTTGTGTGCCTTTGTTGTTCTGTAGATAGGTCTTAAAATTAAATTACTCTTATTCCTTTATTGTGTGTTCTCAGTTCATTCTTCTCGCTACTTCTGGCTTTTTTGCCGTAGAACTGCCAAAATTTTAATGTAGTTCTTCAAAATAAAAGTAATAAAGAGAAAATTTAAAAAAACAAAAACCAGAATCATATTTATGTGGCTATTTATGGAGTGCAGCTTGAAGCAAATAGTTGGCAACAACCCAAAAAGAAGAAGAAGAAGAAGAAGAGAAAAGGCTGGAAGCAAATAATTTCTGTTTATTTCTTTTCATGTTTTTAGTACAAATTATGATGTTATGTTATAGAAAATTGCATATTTTGTCAAACACAATACATTGCCTGCAGTTCAATCATCAATTGCTTCATTTGATTTAATTATCTTAAGTCATATCTTCACTATGTTATTTATTTATTTATTTTTCGACGAAAAGGCTATGTAAAAACCATATCTTCATTTATCAAATAATAGTCAGATGCATTCCAATGGTTAGATGTTTATTGAACAAATGAAACAAGAAAGAATGGCAATGCTTTAATTTGACAATTGCATTTTTAAAGATTCTCAATCAATTCTTTGAAATAAGATTCAGGTTTAAACTACTGATCCTGGTATGCATTGATGTGTAGACTTAGAGATGGAGGCCTTGAAAGCATGTTACGGAGATACACCTTCTGACTCAGACTCTGAATCTTCCTCTTCCAGCCCAACTTTAGTCCACTCTGAAGGCTTCACTCCATTGCCTCCACCTCCGATTTCGCTCCTCAATCCTCCAAATTCTCTTGGTACTCCTATTTGTTTAGCTTATATTATTCATTCTTTATGAAAAAGAGCAAAAGATAATTCTATTTTCTTGGACAGGCTGCTTATGGTTAGGGGGGGAATATAAAAGTAGATAATAAAAATTAAAAAATTTGCACCAACCTCAGAATCTAAATTGATGTTCAGAATTATATTTGTTTGAATTCAATGACTCATTTCTTATTTTTGAAGTTCTATTGCAATCAAATGAAAGTTCCTTGGTTATTTACAGTAGTTTACTTGTTTTGATGTTATTTTCCTTCTGATGACAAGTATTCATTGTTTTAATGGTGAAGGATCTCAAGATTTTCTACAGACTGGTCAGACAAGTAGAGTTAGGGGCTTCCCTCATGTTGATGGTAACTATGCATTGCATGTTTATATACCAAGTAAGTCTGCCATGCTCTTTCTTCAGTTTTTTATTTTATTTTTTTTATTATTTTCAATACTCTGTGATGGGTTATAGCAAAGACCTCCTGCTGGATGATCAGAATGAAAGCATTTGATAGGGGAGCCACATTTTTCAAACTTTCCCATATGGTCTGGACACATTTTCCTTGCAAATAAGTAGAGTTTGGGGCTTTCTAAAGATTTTCATATAAGAATAATATTGGGAAAATGACAATTAAAGATCCCCTAAGAACATTAATCCCAATTAAAAACCATAAAATTTTCAAATCTCAATTAAGGACCATGATCCTTAATTGGGATAAAAAAATATAGTTTATCTTAAATGACCCTGAGAATCACTAACGTGAGGTGGGATTCACTAACGCCACTTGGGGATTTACTAACCCAATTTGGAAAAATTGCTAATGTATATTATGAAAATATGAAACTCTACTTGGGAATTGATTGTTTAACAAAAAGCGCCATTTGAGAATTTATTAACCCAACTTGAGAAAATTTCTAACGTATATTGTGAAAATATGAAACTCCACCTGGTAATCGATTGTTTAACAACAAGTGCCATTTGGGAATTCATTAACTAGACTTGAAAAAATTTCTAACATATGTTGTGAAAAAAGAAAATCTCACTTGGGAATCAATTGTTTAACAAAAAGTGACTTGTCCAAATTGGGATCCATTAACGTGAGGTGGGATATACTAACGTCACTTGAGAATTTACTAATTCAACGACGAAAAATTGTTAACGTATATTGTGAAAACAACATAATTGGGTTTTTTTTAGGGGCATTTAAGACAAATTTCATTTTTTTTATCTCATGGTTCTTAATTGATATTTCAAAATTTTATGGTCCTTAATTGGGATTAATGTCCTTAGAGGGTACTTAATTGTCATTTTTCCATTTATTTTGTCAGATCCTGAAAATTCTCTTGAAGGAGTAATATAAAGTTAACCAAACTTTTGTAGAAAGAAGGAATGAAAATTGTTTGGCAATGGGTATAACAATTTGCAACAAGCACAACTTCTAAACTGATGGGGGTTTTGCGGCATCCTTATGATTATTGTACATTCTGCTCTCTCTTTTTTTTCCTTTTCTTTTTCCAAGTTGATGATGATAAATGGGTGTTAACTTACAGACAAGGGTGATTTGAATTTGTTCTTTGACTATTTTTGTTTTAGCTCAGGACTTTGTGGCAGGGGGGAAAATGTGGCTAGATATCCTATTTTCAAGTCATTATGATGACTTCTGAAAGTATCTAAATTGAAGTTTTATGTAGGACGTGCAAAGATATTTTCCAATACATGCCTGTCTATTGGAACAAGCCTATTTTCAAAGTTCAACTGTGCAAGTACCTGTAGGATACTTGTGAAAAGTAGAGTTGCAATGCACTGAACTTTTTCTGTGCTATTCTTGCCTCTAGATTTATGATTTCTTCACCCTATAATGTGCCATAACTCATTGGTGCTTTCTTACAGTCTGTGTACCATCTCCATCAAAGAAAGAGTTGGCTGCCTTCTTGAAGAAAGTCTCATCTCAAGAGCCAAGTCTTCATGCTGTTGATGTTGATTTACCACTTAATATTCTCTGCAAAAATGAAGAGAATCTTGAACAGGCTGTTTTAGGAAGGGAATTTCACATTAGCTTGGGTAGAACTGTCCCGATACGAGTGCATCAGATTGACTCCATGGTATCGATGCTACGACAGAAACTTCAAACACAACAGCTGTCAGTTTGTGCTTACATTAGTCAATTGTCAATCAGAATACCATGTGTTTTGCCGTTTGCCTATGTTCATCTTTGCCAATAACTCTTATTGTTGTGAAGCAGCTATTGGATTGACTTTAGTAAGTGGGAAGTTTTTGAAAATGATGACCACACACGCACCTTTTTATCATTAGAAGTGGTTCAAGGAGGGTTGAGAGAGGTATGTTGAAGCCTTTATTTTTTAAATAATATTTAGTTGTTTCTCCTGCTATGTTAATTTTTCTGTGTTATATTTTGATTTGTGCAAGTCGAACTGGCATGTCTTTATGCTGGTAGCATAATGTTTGTCATTTGCAGCTCAGCATTTCTATTTCATTTGATTTTCTATTATCTATATAGCATCTTTATGTCGAGTAAATGGAAAAAATTTCTGGGTTTCGGTTACAAGTATGGGAAAGTTGAGTTTAAAAGGCAGACATGGAATGATGTTATTCTGACCAAAATAATCATGGAAACTACACTTAGAAGGCTAGAAGGAAAGCATCTTAAAGACCAAGCCAAATGAAAGACTAGCTGATCATTCTGTTTAGTAATTTGAGAAATAGGAACACTGACTTGGACGTTGTGGTATGGCAAAATCAAACTGGTCCAAATATTATTGGAAGTGTTGCTTAACATCTATTAGGTCGATGTTGTCACGTCGAAGACACAGAATACGCAACACCGACTACTTGTAACTGTTGATATCATATGTCATGGGTACTCCTTTTTGCCATGAAAAAGCGTGACATTGTTTGAATGCATATGGATAATTCTATAGCTAGTCATTTGCACATAAATCATGTACTTTGTGATCTGATGCAAAAAATGTGAAAGTTGAAAATTAATTCGATATTGAAAAGCCTCAGATGCATGAATTCTTTTGGCAAGAATTTCAAGGACATCTTTCCTTTTGTATTGAAACCGGCTCACAATGGAGAAAAACTGGTAACTGAGATGATAATAGACTCAGGAAAACGAATTTGACAAGTTCATTTTCTAGACAATCACTGTTTGATAGGCATATGCATGAGATTGTTATGCTTTTCAATGCATTTCAGATAGCAAAACAAATTGAAGCTGTCAATGGCGTTTATAAGCTTCATAATCTCCCTGAGTTTTACAAGGTCAGTGGTTATATCACTTGTGGTGTTTTGTTCTATAATTGTAATATGGAAATACTAGTTGCTGTTATTGTTAGTTGGTTAGGTACTGATTTTAAGTAATAAATAGCCGTGGGGGTTTGGTGAGAATGAGAAACCTCTATATAGATGAATACCTATGTAATTCATTCCGTGGTTTCCTAATGATGATGATCACACTATTTAGTCCTCTGTTTCTCTATCTACCTTCTGTTCTTCTCTACTCTGTTCTTCTCTCTCTTTCCCTCTTTTTCTCTCTTTCTATCTCTGTCAGAATTACAGAGATACAACTGTTATGTCTCAATATCATCCTATAGTATGAAAATCCAGGTCCACCTGTCCAATTGAACTACTAACTCATTAAATTATTGTCTTGACCGGTTTAATAAAATGCTTTATTGATGATCAATATAATCACGATTTGATTATAATTTTGATCATTAATTTTTAAATCAGTACTTTAACCAATTCAATAACCTGCCCGGTTTTCATTACTTCGTATTCTTCTATTTATGGACCTGAAATGCTTTTTTGGTGGTTCTTTCAGGATCCTCGACCTCACATATCCTTAGCATGGGCATTGGGTGATATCAGTCATTCCCTGAAGAAAGTGGTTGAAGAAGTAATAAAGGGAAGTGCTGTTGAGAAATCTGTAAATAAATGGTCTTTTACCTGTAAATTCAAAGGTATTGAGTGTAAGATTGGCAGTAAAACATACACAATTTGTAAACTTTCTGATGGACATTGATATGCTTAAGAGTAAGGGTCTTGCCATTATATTTTTGGCTGCAAATAATTTAATCTGAAATCATTTGTGGGGTTTAGGGGTGAGCAAAGCTTGGTACTTGACGTTTTGTAAAATCCTTTTGAAAAAAAATTACTGAATTGGTAAATTTCTTTATCTATGATAGATTGATATAACTCCGCCTATGTTTATAGCCAGTCTCAAATTCGGGTAAAAGAGGAGAGTTGTGCTAGGCTATCAACAACTAATATAAAACTTTGTTGAATCTATCATGAACATGAACAATAGATGTTATGATGTTAATGTTAAGCCGTTGTTCGTAAGTAATGCATTGCATGGTTTGAGTGCAATTTAAAGTGAGTTAGAGCCGTTGCATTGACGCTTGGATGTAGTGTTAACTGAGCAAGGGTTATTGTATCATTCTGGACATGCAGGGCTAAAGAAATTAGTTCATGAGAGCAAGATTAGATTTGATACTTGAAATGTTGGGATATTGAATTATAAATTTGTAAGAGTTGTGGGGGTTATGATTTAAATGAAAATCAATATCCTATGCTTGCAAAAAACAAAATGGTGTGGAGAAAAAGCTAAGGATATTCAAAGTTTTAAAATTTAGTACACAAAAAAAGTAAGCACACGTAATGAAATAGGCATCATTATTGATAAGGAGTGGAAGAAGAATGTTGTAGAAGTTAGCAGAATTAAAGATAGAATTATTTTCTTAAAAATAATAGTTGGATGTGAGAACGTTAATATTATTAGCGCTTATGTGCCTCAAGTTGGGACAGAAGTCAGTCTTAAGGAATTATTTTGAAAAACTTGGAGGGATTGATTGAACACACACCACAAAGTGAAAAGATTTTTATTGGAGGGGATTTTAATGGACATGTCGGGAGAGAGGTTGGTCAGTATGTGAGGGTGCATGGTGGTTTTGGTTTTGGAGAGCTAAACAATGAAGGACAAACTCTTTTTGATTTCTCGTTGGTATATGATTTTAAAATTGCCAAACACTTGTTTCAAGAAGAGAGATGAGCATTTCATTACTTACAAAAATGGAGCCTCAAGGTCACAGATTAATTTTCTTTTGGTTAGGAATATAGATAGAAGACTCTGTAAAAATTGCAAGGTGATTCCCGAGGATACTGTAACGACACAACATAGGGTCCTTGTCTTTAATGTGTGTATTATGAGTAAAACTTAAAAATGTTGACAAGTAGTAGCACCAAGGATTAGCTAGTGGCAATTAAAAGGTGAGAAGCAAAATATTTTCAAGTGGAATCTTTTGGACAAAGGAATTTGAAAATATCAAGGAAGTGCTAACATCTTGTGGAAAGATATGGCTAAACAGATATGGGAGGTTGCAAAAGTAGTTTTGGGAGAATAAAAAGGTTTTGGTCTAAGAGATAAGGAGTCTTGGTAGTAGAATAATAGTGTACAGGACAAAATCAAACATAAGAAGAATTGTTTTAAAGCCATACATTTGTGTAACAATGATGAAAATTAAAAAAGGTAGCGTATGGTTAAGAAGGAAATTAAGAGAGCTGTAAGTGAGGCTCGCTTTAAAGCTTTTGAAGAATTTTATAAGAGTCTTGAGACAAAGGAAGGAGAATGAAATATTTATAAGATTGCTAAGAGTAGAAAAAGAAAATCAAGAAATCTAGAACAGGTAAGGTGTATAAAGAATAAAGAGGGAAGAATTTTAGTAATAGATGATAACATTAAAAATAAATGGGAGATCTACTTTTTCAAACTTTTCAATGATGGAGAGGGTTTGTTTAGTAACTTGAAGAATTTAGTAACTTGTGAAGGAGAACAAAATTTATCATTTTATAGAATAATATGTGATAAGGAGGTAAAGGAAGCTCTTAAGAAAATGGCAAATGGTAAAATTAACGAACTTGATTGTATATCTATTGAAGTGTGAAAATGTTTAGGTGAAGAAAAGGTGTGATGGTTAACTAAGATATTTAATGTAATTTTATGGTCCAAGAAAATGCCTAATGACTGGAGGAGAAGTACATTAATTTCTATGTATAAAAATAAGAGGGATATTTAGAATTGTACTAACTATAGAGGGATTAAACTCATAAGCCACATAATGAAATTTTGGAAAAAAGTAATTGAGCATAGGTTGAGATTGGAGATAAGTATTTCTGAGAATCAGTTTAGTTTTATGCCAGGTAGATCGACTACAGAGGCGATTTATCTACTAAGGAGATTAATGGAAAAGTACCATTATAAAGATAAAGATTTACACATGGTTTTTATTGATTTGAAAAAAGCTTTTGACCTATACCAAGAGAAGTGCTTTGGAAAGCCTTAGAAAAAAAAGGAGGTATGAATTGCTTATATCAAAGTTATACAAGATATGTATGAGGGGGTAAAAGCTAGTATAAGAACTTCTAATGGTCAAACAAAGGACTTGAAAAATTTTTAAATGTATGCTCTTCGCGAATGATATAGTTTTTATAGCAGAGACAAGAGAAAAGATTAATTGTAAACTTGAGTTATGGAGGAGGACATTGGAGTTGAAAGGTTTCCGTCTGGGTAGGAGTAAGATGAAATATTTATATTGTAAATTTGGTAAGAGACTAATCGACAATAATTGGTAATAAAATTGGAAGATCAAATTATACCTTAAGTGGAAAAGTTTAGATATTTGGGAGCCATCATTCAAAATGATGGCAAAATTAGTGGGGATATTTCACATAGAATTTAAGCTGGGTGGTTTAATTGAAGAAAAGCTAAAGGAGTGATTTACGACCGTAAGATGCTTAATAAACTTAAAGGAAAGTTTTATCGTACTGCTGTCAGATCGGTTATATTATATGGTAGTGAATGCTGTGCTCTAACAAGACGACAAGAGCATAAAGTTGGAGTAGTAGAGATGAGAATGTTACAATGGATGTGTACACATATACGTAAAGACAAAATTCAAAATGACTATGTATGCGAAAAAGTGGGGGTAGCACATATTGAGGAAAAAATGATAGAAAATCATTTGAGATGGTTTGGGTATGTACAAAGAAGACTGCAGGAGGCACCAATAGAAGAGTAGAACATATAACTTTGAGCTTTGTTAAGAGGGGTAAAGAAAGGCCTAAGAGAATACTCTTAAAAGTTATTGAACGCGATCTCTTAATTAATAATATTTTTAAAAACTTGGTAAATGATATAGCACAATAGCGTCTTGCAATCCATATAGCCGACTCCATCTAGTGGGATAAATGCTTGTTGTTGTTGTGATGGATTGATATGTAGTAAAGGCAAAATTACACTCTTGGCCTTTTAATTTTACACAAGGTTTTAATTTGATTCTTTATTTTGTTAAGGTATCGGTTTACTCTCCTAATCCTAACCTCATTCATCTAATTAAGGAAGTTAATACAACAATTTTAAATGCTAACAAAGCATTTACAGATGCAAATGAAACTTCCATAAGAGCCTCAGATTTTGTTTTTTGTTTTTGGTTTTTGGTGATAAAAATATCAAATATATTAAAAAGATAAAAAGAAATTAATGGCATAAGAGCAACATGCTTCAGGACATCTACCTTGGTTTTTGTGTTTTATAAGAGAAACATGTTTCAGGATATTTAAAATTGTTTTGTCAATATTTTTCATTAATTAGATTAAAAAGAAATACAAGATAGCTTCTGCAAATGTTAACCTACTGAATGTAATAGGCATAGGTAGTTTATTTATAAAAAAATAATTAGATCAATAGTATTAAAATTAAGAGAAAGTATTTTATAAAATTAAAGAATTAAATTAAAATATTATTTAAATTTAAAAGATTAACGACATACTTTTATCTGTATTGAAAAAATAATTGGTGAGATTAATGAAATGGTTATTACCTTTTTTAAAAAAAAAATTTGATCATTGAATATGCAAAAATTGATAAAATCAGTAGAAAATCATAAACATTTGTTTGGTTAGATGAAGGTCCAAATTCTCAAGATCAAGTCAATAAGCGTTAGTTTTAGTAAAATTGATTACAGTTGTTTAATGCTTTAAGTACAAGGTTTAAGTTTGAGCTCATATAAATATAAATACATCTTTTAAGAGAGTTATTTTTAATTGAGTCAGACAATGTTTGAATATATAATCTAATAATATAGTTATTATAAAAAAAAAATACAATGTGCACAATGAAAAGGATCAAGGATGAACCTAGAAGTCGTAGGACGTAGGTTATAAGGACAGCACGCATAATTTTGTGACAATAAATATAGAATCAAGGTATAAAAATATCCAATAATTTTTTTATTTTTTATTTTTCACATATAACACTCGTTATCTTCAACTCAAAGAGAGTGCAGAGTGCACCATTTTTAACGAGGAAATGCACCCACCTCGTTAAATTTGCCACTGTGTTGAACGTTAAATTGACAGGTAAGCAAGTAGTGGACCATTTTGGCTGACGTGGACATCATTTTACGGAACCATCTTCGGTGCTTATCAGGGTGATGCAATTTTAATCTGGATGGTCCAAATTTAAAGAAATAATTTAATATTTTATTTTATATTTTTAAAAATAAAAATTTATAAAAATTATAAAAAAATTTTAATAAATATTTTTTTACTAATCGAAGTTTATATTTAATTTATAGTATCTGATTTAATATTAAAATTTTTATATTTTTATATATTGACTATTCAGATGTATTATGTACAGTTCAGATTTAAAATTTTTAACTTGTAACTTTTTAAAAAATATTTTTTTAAAATTTATAATTAAAATATTATATATTTTATTTTTTAATAGTGTATTCATTAAAATAAAAAATAAAAACTTTAAATTTGAACCTTGCAGATAAACATTTGATATCGAATATAAACTGTTTAACAATACATATAGATAGTTAATTTAAAAAATTATAATATTAAATTAAATCATTAAATTAAATTAATATTATTCATATCAATGGTCAACTTATTTAAAAAAAATTATAAATTTATATTTTAATAAATATAAATTTAAATTAAAAAATTGAGCCGTTCAGATTTAATTTGAACGGCCCAGATTTATTTGTATGGATGAGCACCTCGATGCGGAGC